GACCTCCCCTTGCCCGGGGGTGCATGAGCAGCAGGTGACGTGTGCCCAGGGTTCCCTCGTGCTGAGCAGCGTGTGGGGCACAGGGGGCAGGGAGCCCCCCACCCCGGGGGGCTGGGACCCCCCTGTAGGGCCGGTTTACCCTGGAAAAGCTGTCTGGGGAAAGGAGGCGGGGGGGTCTTCATGTGCTCACAGGGAGGGTCACCACCCCCAGGCCCGCCCATGGGGTGCCCTGCCCCTCCTGCACCCCCCAGCCCCGTGTTTTGCTGCCCCTCTCCCGCTGCCCGCCGAGCTGGGTGCCCCCCCGACACGCACACATGCCTGTGCGCTCGCTCACTCACACGTTCTGCTGTCACTACTGAGCCTGCCCACGTTTCCAGATGCTTTGCTATCCCAGCTTGCACCAACACGCTCCTCTCTGCTCCTGGAGCCCCTCCACGCCCACGTCCTCCCTCCCAGTACCCGTGCCAAAGCCCCTCAACCTGCCCGTTTGCTCTGGCACCCCCAGCCCGCGCCATCACGGTGCCCTGGGCTCCATCCCCCTGCTGAGGGCTGGCGGGGTGGGGGTCTCTCCCACCCTCCCGTGGCCAGGCCCTTGCCTGGGCACAGATCTGCCCATCGTGCTGCGCGTTGTTCCCCTGCGCTGCCGAGGAGGGTCCCCGGTGGGGGCCGTGCTGGTGGGGAGGCTGGCCAGCAGAAGGGTGGCCAGGTGGCCCTTGTGGGACCCCTCCTCTGGGGCAGCCCCCCTCCACCCAAGTGTCTGGTGCGCACCTGGTTGGCTCTGCCCAGACTGGCTTTCAGGGCTGACCCAGGGCAGGGGTGCTGGGAGCCCCCAGGTGGGGCAGAGGGGGCCGCACGGGCACTGCCTGCAGCCCTGGTTCGGCTTCTGCTGGGGTTTTAGTTTATATTCGAATTCCTATTTAGTTTAGATTCATGTTTCTGCCGTGTGAAAGTGGCGATGGGCAGAGCTGTGCTTGCTGGCTGTGCTGCAGGGGCTGCACTTGGCAGAGCCCTGTCCTGCCTGGGAGACCCCCCGGGAGGCAGGGACCCTGCCAGACCCCAGCACCCCTGCCGTTCGTCAGGGCGTTCAGGGAAGGTCTGTGACCTTTCTCACCCTGCTCTGCTCCCTGGGCTAGACCCGTGCCAGGCCTTGCAGCCCTGCAGGGCTCTCCTGAAGGAAAGACCTTGAGGGTTCGAGCCCACGCTCAAATGTGGGTTTGAATGGACAAGCCTCAGCACGTAGGGGTTTGCACCGGCTGGTTGGTGGTCACTGGGATTCATTTTCTGCTGAGCCCACTGCCTTGACCCCACCTGCCCTGTTCCCTGCCTCTCCAGGGCTGAGCCTGGCAGCCCCGTGGCTGCTGGCGCCACTGGGGAAGCATCCAGGGGAGCCCCTTTCTTCCCCTGTTTGCTGCTCCCTTTGCACAGACCCTGCACAGACCCCAAGGGTGCCTGTTTTGTCTTGGGCATGCTGGTCCTGAGGGCCGTTGCTGGCGGGTGCAGGGGGTGCAGGGGGTGCCTGCCTGCACGCACAGGCAGCACGTGGCCTGTGTGACAACCCACTCCCCAGCTGCATGAACCTGTTTGGTGACTGTCACGCCCCGGTCAAAGCCTGGTGCACACCCTGCAGTGGGACAGGCCCCCCCCACCATGGCACTTGGGCCTTGCAAGTGCAATGGGGGGGTGGGACGTGGCCACGGGGCCACCTGCCCGGGAGGCTGCGGCGCTGGGAGGGAGTGGGGGGGCCCCTTTGCATGTGCTTTTGGCAAGTGAAGCTGCTGGGGTTGGGGAGGGATGAGCTCGTGGAAAGGGAAGTCACGAAGTGCAGAGGAACAGCTCTGCTGGAGAACGTATTAAAGATGAGTCCTCCAGGTCTCCCTGAGGATTTTGTGTCTAGATGCTGCCTCTCTTCTACCTGGCGAGGGATGAGGAGCAGCAGCTGCCTGTGTCTCCCAGGGCAGGGATTTGTAGGCAGTGACTGCTCTTAAGTCCACGTGTTTTTCAGGAGATTGTGGTGGTTACTCCCTGCTTCACATCCTGTAGATCAGGGGGGATCTGTGGCCAATCCCACCACACATCCCCAGGGAGCACAGCACAGGGAAAATGGGGGATTGTTCCTTCTCCTTGACTTTCGCTTGTGGTGGTTGATCCTCTGGCTGTTGGGGGCAGTTTTCCTGCAGGGCAGCATCCCCACCCCTGGGCTGCAGGTTAGAGCCCCGTCTGCTTTTCTGAGGTGGTGGCAGTGAAAGGGACATTTCTACCTGCAGCCTCTTCAAGGGAGCTTTTTCAGGTGGTCCCTGCCCCTTTTTCCTTGGAGCTTGTCCTGCAGAGCATCCCATGTGCCCACAGTCACACCTCAACATTCCTTCTGTGTGTTCTGCCAGTGGCAGATTCCAAGATTTCTCTTGGAAAAGCAGATTCCCAGCAAGGTGCTGACCAAGCTCTCCTGTCCTGCAGCCCCGGAGTTGGGTGGACACAGGGGAAGGTGCCCTGGGAGATGTGCAGGGTGCTGTGTCTCCTCGGTGGGCAGGGAGACCTTTTAAAAGAGTTTCTCCATGAAATGTCACCAGGACCTCCTGATGGTCTAATGCCCTCTGACATGGCACCTTGGCTCTGCTCTCCTGGTCTGAGGGAGGAGAAGGGCTCCAGCTGGTCCCAGCTGTGGGGCTTCTGGAGACCCTGGCCCATGTGGGTCCCTGGGGGCACGGGCAGCAGGCAGGCAGGGAGGCTGGAGCTGGGAATGGTCAGGAACTGTGCATGCCATTCATATTGTCTTTTGTTTCTTGATTCCAAGCCTCCATGCGGAGAAGAAAAGGGGGTGAGTGAAACCACATGTCCTGGGGCTCCTCCCTCCTGGCCAGCAGCCTGGCTGCCCCACATGGGGGGCTCCCAGGGGGCTGGCCCAAGTCCCCTTCCCTGGTGGTCACAGGAAGGCTCAGCCCAAGGGGGATGGAGCTGTGTGGGTCAACTCCTGGTGGCACAGGCAGCTGGACCTGCTGGCCAGCTGGGCCTGGGAACCTCCAGGTCTGACTCCCCAGGTTGTTGCACTTGCTGTGTGTTCACCCCATGGTGGAATGTCCCCCACGTGCAGGGTCCCAAAGTGCCATCTCCCCCAGGTCAGGAGCTCAGCAGGGCTGGTGGCAGCCCTGGGGGCTCAGCCCAGCCAGCTGGGGCAGGGCTGGGCTGGTCACTGGTTGTCCCAGGCCACCCACCGTGGAGGCCACATCCTGGGTGCCCATGGCTGTGAGGCTGTGTCCATGTGGATCTCATGTCAGGGACACTGCAGAGCCAGGGGGTTGTTGCCAGGGCTGAAGGCCAGCAGTGGGCAGCCCTGCATGGAGCAGGAGGGCTGGTCCTGTCCCAGCACAGGACTCTGCATTTCTGCAGCACAGGGAAGAGGGGGGAGCCTGGAGAGCTGACCCCACTTCTTGGCCTTTCAGAAGCAAAACTCTCTCTGTTCTGGCAATGTGCAGCTGGAGAACGTTTCCTGAGGGACAGGAGATGGGAGGGACTGTCTTCCACCCTAATGGTGGTGACATAGGAAAGAAGTTGAGCAGGGGTTACGAGTGGAAGGTCTCTGAGGGACCCCAGGCCTCCTCCTGAGCCCTGGCTGAGAGAGAACCCCACGGTCTCAGCAGCTTTTGGTCACAGGGGCTGAGCCAGCTCCTCTCCCAGCAGCCTGAACCACCCTGTGCTCCAGCATCGGTCACCCAGCAGGGAGGAGGAGGAGCCATGGAGGCTCCCAGTGGCAGGGATGGTTGGCTACTGGAGGTCTTGTGCCAAGGAAGTTCAGGAGCTGCCCTGAGCTGTTTCCTTGGAGCAGGTGCAGGTCCTGAGTCCCGGGGTCTTGGTGGACACCTGCCACCAAGGGTCTTGGCCTCAGAGGACACCTCAGTCCCCTTGGCAAGGACCCCTTGGTGTCTGTGCTGGTACAGGGCTCACTCCTCCCCAGGGCAGGTTTATGAAGCACTTGGGGCTCATTTTCAGTTTCAGGAATTCTGGCCTTCGAGCTGCCAGGGCCCCCCTGTGGCCTCAGCCTGGGGGTCCTGGGGTGGCCCCTGACTCGTGTCAGCCCCCAGGGGCTTCTGCAGGAACATTGGCCCGATGGCCTGGGCTCTCCAGACAAGAGTCCACTCAGGGAGGGAGGACCCCAGTTTGTCCCCAGTGGACCTTGGATTGACACGGATTGTGCTGGAGCCCTGCGGAGTCCTGTGGACTCTGCATCACTTGTGGTCCCTGCAGCTCCTGGTTCCCTTTGCCTGGTGTTGTGCAGCCTCTGCCTGTCCCACCTCCCACCATTCCAGGCTGCTCCTGCCCTCCAACACTGCCAGGGATGGGGCAGCCACAGCTTCCCTGGGCAACCTGGGCCAGGCTCTCCCCACCCTCACAGCCCACAATTTCTCCCTCCCATCTCAGCTCCAGCTCCCTCTGCCAGCTGGAAACCCTTCCCCCTGCTCCCATCCCTCCCTGCCCTTGTCCCAAGCCCCTCCCCAGCTTTCCTGGAGCCCCTTCAGGCACTGGAAGCTGCTCTAAGGTCTCCCTGGAGCCTTCTCTTCTCCAGGCTCAACACCCCAACTCTCAGTCCCATCCTGACTATCAAAGGCACCTCCGGGTGAGGTTTCCCCTCCGGTGCAGGGACAGAAGCTGCCTCCAGATGTGGCACAGCTGGGAACAGTGTCCCCTCACAATGTGTTGTGCGTCCGGGGGGGGTGGGCACCTCCAGCATCACCACCAGACCCGGCGGAGGGCGGGGGGCAGGCAGG